CTGACGTACCGATGCTGCTCCTGAACGGGGCGTCCGCTCGAAGATGATGTAGAGCATGATGAGGCTGGGACAAAGAGGGAAACTGTCGTGCCGATACTGCTCCTGAACGGACGTCCCCCCGATGATGTTGTACAGCACAAAGATGCTGAGACAAATAGGGAAACTGACGTGCCGATTCTGCTCCTGAACGGGGGTTCCCCCGATGCAGGTGATGCAAACACAGAGGCATTTTCCGAGCTTTCAAGTAGTCCAAAGGCTACTATGGATCCAATGCCTTTAATGGTCAACTCCCGTTCCAATGATGCTTGTTGTTCAGGGAAATGTCATAACCATCTTGATTTATGCGCCGATGTAACGGGCAAGACTCTGCCTAACTCCTACACAGAAGAGTCTCTTCTCCCTCACCCTAGCCCACCTTTTGATCCTGAGACACGTTCAAAGAATACAGTGGATCGTCGACTAAGGAATCCTGTCCTTGCTCGAAAGTCAGTCTCAGCCCCAACACAGACCTTTTCGCCACATGAGAAAGATTACAAGCTTAATCAGCAAGAACTAAAGAAGAGCTCATCCATCAGGTTCAGGGCATCATTGGAGCCGATGACAACTACTGAAGTCGGTGGTGGAGACATGAAAGCACAGCCTACTGAAGCACCATCCTCATGGTGGAAACTAGACAAGCCTTCCAGTTACCCAGAGTTGGAAGAGCCGAGTATGAGCCTTCTAGACTTCACCGCAGTTGATCAACCTCGTGGACTGGAAATCCTGATCGAGAAAAGAGCACCACGGCAGTTTTGGTGTGCACCAGACCTGCTAAAAGGAGATGGGCCCCGAGGACTAGAAATTGTGCTGGAGAACTCAGAACATTTCAACCCTGTACAACAGAAGGTATGGCACAGGTGTCAGATTACGGACATGTTAAGCAAGGCGTCAACAAGTAACGTGGCCGCTTCGTATTGCCATGGGAAGAGCCACTCTAAGATGAACATGCAGGTCAACAAGTTTCCTGCAACTGAAGGAGGGGACACGAGCCGAGACGAGCCTGCTGCATTCAGACCGTCTTTCCCACTGGCACTGTTAACACACAGGGTCAAGAGGGGCTACAGACTCAACTATATGCTATACTGATAAAGATTAAGCTGTATTCCTGTATGGAAGGCTTTGCATGAACAACACAAAAAGAATGTGATCTACACTTATTATTTATTTATTCTATTTTTAACGTAGGTTCAATTATCACCTGACATCAGCATTGCATGTATACATACGAACGTGCTATTTAGTTTTTGCATACCAGAGATATGAACATTATTAACAAACCACGAATTTTAACAGATGTTTTTTTTTACTACTTTGTTGTATATGTACGCGTACCCATATTTTAAACAGAGACTTTTTGTGAAGAAATTCAAAGCAATGTACACCGCAATGTTTTGTGATTTTATAAACATATTGACTGCAATTCATGTATGTCTCCTTAAGCCACAGAAGTGTTGTATTTACTGCTGGGTACAGAATTATCGCTTTGGGTGGCTAAGTTTTGGGTAAAGTGTATAGTTGTTCGTGCAGAGTAGGTTGACAGTACTTACTTAGGTAGGTTGAGGAAGATTAACAGGCAACAATGACGACAAAAACCCCATCGTGAAAACTGCTTGAAATTTTAAACTTGATTTTATATTTGACAATTAAGGAAATGTGATCATATAACATAACTAATTAAAAAAGGTAACGTTTGCATGATTTCTGAGGAAATGCTAGAACAGGTTTCTTTGCTTGGGTAAGACTGTCTTTGGGTGGAGAATGTGATCAACGTATTTCATGCAAACGAGGATACTGCTTTGCATAACCATAATCATTTAATTCATTAGTTAAAGGATGGAGATCATTTGGCTTATTGTCTGTTTATAGAAAGTGGTGATGTATCTAATTATCTATCTATTGCCGGCCTGTTCAGCCGGGACCAAGCAAGTACAGATTTCTTTCCATAGATTCCATATCTAACATAGCTTTTTCTAAACAATCAAAATCAAAGCCAGTGTCTTTGACCAAAGAGTCTTTTCTCTCTCATTTATTAAAAAAAATGTAAGAAAAGGATGTTTAAGATACACGAGTGTGTATAAAATAATGATGTATCAAATACGCCTTACATTGCATCAAAGTTAACGTCAAACAGAGGAAACATTAACCTTATTCCACGAATAAGTGGTGTTACAAATGTTACGCAAAACGCCCATATTCGTTTGGGGGAAAAGTTTTATAAAATTCGTGTAAATTCTTAAAATTTGAGCTGAGAATACCTAATATAAAACTGAATCTTAGAAATTGATGTGAGAACACCTACAAATATTAAAAATATCAACCGACAAATAATCTCGATGAGTAAATCTTGAAGGAACAATGAAACGCCTGCCAGGCCTGCTAGTTCTTATAAAAAAAAAAGAAACACACAAAACACACGCACACACACACACACAAATACACAGATTAGATGTATTTTTCTGGTCGATCATTTTGAGCCAATACAGTATCCGGTTACAATAGGCCACATTGAATAATTACATTTAGGAACACACGAGTCCAATCATTACTTTCCATTTCCAGCAGTTGGTGTTCTGATCTGAATTCCGACTACCCTGTGGGGAAAGAAATGACTGAATCAGTATTATCATGAAAATTCATCTGTGTTTGTAATTACATGTTTAGAGTTAAATCCTTTGATTCACAAAGAAGTTTTCTCACCTAGAGCTTTGGACCAGTAACTTTGGTCTTCCTCAGTAGACCGGCCCAGTTAGGCTTGTCAAGTGGCTTCCTTGAAGTAGACGTCTTGAAAAGTTTGCAAGTTGACGTCTACTATTGAGCTCTAGGTTAGAGAACTTCTTTGTGTTGGGTCAAAGGTTTTAACTTTAAACCTGAATCAGTATTGTTATCGCAAACACGCTAACAAACATTATAGTAATACATGTCTTTGTGTTCGCGTGCGTGCGCACGCGCATACATTCGTGTGTTTGATCGTGTGTGTGTGCTTTTGTGTGTTTGTATGTATGCATGTGTGTGTGTGTGTGTGTGTGTGTGTGTGTGTGTGTGTGTGTGTGTACATGTACAACTAGTTATGTCTGTTTACATGTATGCATATGTGTATGTGAAAATTGTTCCAAATTTAACATTGCTACAATATCACCATTCATACAATATCATTCTTTCGCATATACACCTGCCCATTTACCTGTAATCTTGTAGACCTCATTTCCCCAAGCCCCGCCTTCGCCGTCCTCTGCGCAGGTTGTAGTAGGTCCGTACCTGTTGTAAGTGTTGAGGCCATCAGCAGACCCGAAACACTGCCCACCGTCCTGTACAGAAAACATGGGGAAGCCACGAGACAGTGCTACCTGGTAACACTTCTGGATGGCGTGATGACGGCTCTGGTAGTCACCATCCAAGAGCGAATCTGTCCCCTCTAGAATCGGAATGGCGCGGGTATCAGAGTCCCTCCAACAACCCAGGCTGGTGTACCCTGAGGAGACAGAAAGGACTGAATCAGTAATGGTATCACGAAAACACTACTAATAATCTTTCTAAAGCTGTACATAGTAATCTGCGGGGGGTTGGGGTCGAACACACAGCAAGAATATGCTCCTCTCATGCAGCTGATCATTCATCCATAGACGCCTGTGATATTTGACCGTAGTATTTCTTGAAATGTCATAGTCAAATGTCACAGTCGTCTATGGATTGCACTTAAATAAATCAAATTCCTGTAAAAAGCCTCCTTTGCTTAAGTAAGACCTTCATACTTTAGACATGTTCCGTTTTATTTCAGTATAGACGAGAAAATAACTAATCATTCATGCAAATTAAGACGTGTGTCTGTTGATTGTGTATGTGCGCGTGTGAATGAATGAATGAATGAATGAATGAATGAATGAATTTTTTATTTCAGTGTCATGCCCTTCACGTGCCCAGCCCGTTTGGACATGAACGACAGAATTTGATAGTATTATGTAAGAAGTATATGAATAAAAGAGAATCGGGGGTACAGAGGTAATAAAATCAAACCATAGAGGGAACACAAAAAATGAATAGGTAATTACGAAAGACGCAAGATGAGCCTGTTGCCTTGGACTTTAGCCATTAGCCAGGGTTTATATCTACCGCATGCACACATATTACAGACGGAATTGTACACGATTTGAGAGTGGCAGCTAAAGAATGGAGGCTCGCCGTTATGACTCCTGTCCTTTCAGAATGAAGTGTTCGTTCAGTACTCGTTCTTGTCTTGTAATGTGTCCCAGCTCGGGATCTTGGGTTAGAAAATAGTAGCGGATACTTTATTTTTACAGATGAACACACATTGTTAACAAACCGATCATAGTGGTTAACATTATAAAATGACAGTAAATAGAAAAGTGAATAGTAGCAAGACAGCACTTATGACCCTCGCTCTGTCAGAGGGTCAATCGCCGATAAATCAGACACTGTACCAGCCCCATACGGCAATGTCGGCAGGGGGCGCAGCACAGTTTGGCCTTATGGCTATCATTCTTGTCGATGGCGACTGTTTAAGAAGAATTGCTTCCATTTTTGATTATATTAGATTCCTGTCAGAAATAGACCGTCTTGTAGCCCTGGCGGAAGCCTGGCAGATAAAATTTCACCCTTATATAAAATTATATAAAATGTGTAGTGATTAGCAGTTAATAGAAATTCTTCAATCAGTGACTGTATTTTTGTAAGGTAAATCACGTACCTCCAAATTTTCGGTGTCGACTGTACACCTTGATCACGGAATGACCCATTGTCGCGAGAAAACGAGACAAGATCGAGACTTGTGGATCTTCTGGCCTCCCCCGCCTCCTTGCGGAGTATAGGAAGGTAGGCCTTGGGCAGCTCCCAACCTCATTACAATTCATCCCGGCACGTTCCAACTGGATGTGGAGGCGGGGGAGGCCAGAAGATCCACACAAATCTCAATCTAGTCTCGTGTTCTCGCGAGATTAGGTCATTCCGTGATCAAGGTGTACAGTCGACACCGAACATTTGGAGGTACGTGATTTACCTCGCAAAAATAAGTCACTGATTGAAGAATTTCTACTAACTGTTAATTCTACGTGACTGATAAACCTCTTTAACGGTGCAGTGATTAGTATTACACGTAAACCATCCCCAGTTCAATACTCTTATAGCATTGCAGATTCTGTAGCAAACTCTTTTCTGTAATGTATATGTACGTTTAAATGAGTCTAGATGTCAGTAAGAACATGTAAAAAATAAGATATAAAAAAGTATACACGCAATATACTCACCTGAGGACTGTCCCGCAAGCTTCTCAATCGCCTGCGTCAGGCATCTTTATTTGCATGTTGTTTTTCATTTCTGTGTTTTTCCTAAGTTGACATCACACAATGATGTTTTTTTTAAAATATCCTAATTAATTTTGCAAATTGAGTCCTTATTTACATAAATAACATACAATCGTGTAAATCCATGTCAAAGCTATCTAAATACCAAAATCATGATTTTCGTGATTTATCCGCTTTTAAAGATTTCCCTGGAAGCTTTCAGTTCCAGGACAATCTTTTAGGGGGATCAAACCCATACCACTTGTTTCTGACAGGAAAAGCTATCTGTCACCAAAAATTCAAGGCTGTAGTATGCTCGGGACAAAAGATACGATAACCGGAAGTTCGGGTGCAGTCCAAGGTCAGCCACCAGGAGGCCCAGATATCACCTTGACCTTTGCTTTATTAAGAACTACCAACATGTCAAATATCATGACAATCCATAAAGGCATTCCGAGGTTATGCTGACCACAAGTATGCGGAAACACACACATACAGACAGACATACATACAGACAGAAATAAAGACAGACAGACAGACAGGCGGGAAACATTCAACAGTCAAAGTACCTACATATATTTTCATGTAGGTACTAATATCTCAGCTTTTGTACGGAGTATCACAATAAGTATGGGCCATGTGACAGCCGTGAAGCCATCCTTGTGGAGGAGAGCAATCCCTCCACCAGGACAGTAATTTCCAAACGCTCCGCATATTATTTATGCAATGATCGTTTCGGCAGCAAGTTAAAACATTTTAGACAAGCTAGGAAACTGCTTTCAAGCTGAATTTAAAAAAAAAAACTATAGTATGACTAGCTGTAGCAATAACTATAATAACGAATGAAATGGAGGAAAGCAGGGAGTAAAACGTGAAGTTTCTATTATACTATACTGGTGTAAACAAACTACCGGGGGAACTGGATAACATACATTACCTGGGTGCAAAGGGATCGGGACGACATGTCATCGTTAAGTTCTCTACCTTCCTGGCAAAGAGAAAGGTTTATGAGGCAAGGAAGGCCCTGAAAGGGAAGAAGAACGATGCTGGATCTTTCTTCTCAATTCGTCCGGATCTGTCCCCGGCTAGTAGGGCACTTTTCCACCAAGCCAAACAGTTGGTCTCAAATGGAACTGACAACAAACCGCTAACAGCTGTGTGGGTGACCATCGAGGGAAAAATCTGGGCCACACGTGACGACCGCCGGGTTCTGCTGACGAGTCAACAGGACATAGCGAACGTCGTTCCAGAGGAGTCAGCCCAACACCGTCGGAAGTTCTTCGCCAAGCGGCAAGCTTCTCGTTCACCGGACCTTCAACCTGACATTAAGAAAACTAATGTCTTTGAACCCTTGGCACAAGTGGACTGCCCCTGAAGGGAGGGACGGTAGAGACTGAACTGAATAGAGTTTCTCGGTTTGTTTTTCCCCTTCCTTCTTTATATATTTAAAATGGATTATGTGTCGGTTTTCTCTTTTTCAGGGGGGTGGGGGATAGATCAGGTAGTGCCTATTTATTTCCTTGGAGTGTAAGAAATATTTAATCAATCTACTTGTGAAATATTATGATTCTTTTTTTTTTTTGGAAGCTCACCTGATATTGATATTGAATCCTATATTGACATTAGCACTATCGTGTAATTTTTTCTTATGAAATATAATTACATCTGATTGTGAGCGTGGGCTTTTATGCCCTCTAGTCGCTAGTGTTTAGTTTACAAACAAAAGTAGACCATTGTAAAGTTGTGTTGCGTTAAGAAGACACGCACTGTTTGTTTTGATGCATGTTTCACTTTATTTATGCATGGCATGTTACTTTATGTCTCTGTTTGTTTCATGTAGTGGATATATTGATTATTGTAGTACATATTATGATAAACCCTGTTGCCTGATAGATATAAGACAAGTTTCTCACACTGGTTCGTTTACTTCAATTTTCGCTTTTCTGCGGACGCCCAGCCCTTATTTATATTTATAGAGTATTAAATATTTTCATCTCTACTTATGACTTCGCCCAAAGTCAATATTTGTAGCTATAATTGCAATGGGCTGGGCGACCGCAGAAAACGACATGAAGTATTCACATGGTTAAAAGACAAAATTACCAAATTTACTGTCTACAAGAAACACATTCTTCCATGAAAGTTGAAACAGAATGGATATCAGATTGGGGGCACCTAATTCTTTTTAGTCACGGTTTAAGTAATAGTAGGGGGGTAATGTATTTTATTTAAGATAAACGTCTCCTACACAGTTCACAATTCACTAACTGACAATTCAGGCAGGTGGATTATGTTGGATATAACTATAGATTCTAGTCGTTTTTGTTTGGTAAATATATATGGCCCCAATTCAGATGACCCCTCTCTTTTCACTAATTTGGAAACAACTATACAAAATTGTTTAGATTCTGAATCATACATTGTAGTTGTAGGTGATTTCAACACTGTTCTTAATACTGATATAGATAGAACCGGGCATCGAATTTCAAATTACCATCCAAAATGTTTTCAAGCAATCAATTCACTATGTGCCAATTTAGATTTGATAGATATTTACAGACACCAAAATCCTAAAACAAGGCGATATACTTGGAGACGTAGATTTCAAGCAAGTCGCATTGATTATTTTTTAACGTCCTTTTCCTTAGTTTCTCGCATACAAAAAGTGGAAATAGAAGATAATTTTAGGTCTGACCATTCCCTTATTGGACTTTCTGTTGTTACTTCACCAATACCCAAGGGCCCAGGTTTTTGGAGATTCAACCAAGATTTACTAAGAGACCCGGTTTTTATTAAAGAAACTTCAGATTTCATAAATAACTTTTTCCTCATCAATAAGGATTCTGCGAATGCACATACCGTATGGGATACATTTAAGTGTTGTGTACGTGGACATATTATAAAATATTCGTCATGGAAATACAAACAACTCAAATCGACCGAAATTTATCTAGCAAGTGAAATCTGCAGCCTGCAAGAAAGCTTAGACGCTGTTTTTGACCCAAATACCTTTGTTAAACTACAGGAAAAGAAGCAGGAATTAGAACTATTTTATCAAATCAAATCTAATAATATAATCACCAGTAAAAGAGCAAAGTGGATGGAGCAAGGGGAGAAGTGCACTCGTTTTTTTATGAATTTTGTCACTAGGGATAAGGCTAGGAAAAATATGGCCAAACTTGTCTCTGCAGACGGTCAGATCATAACCAGCCCTTTAGATATTCTCGAGGAACAGACCAACTTTTATCATAATCTATACTCTTTAAAGGAACAACCAATGTCAGTAGATGCAGATGTTTTTAAATCCTTTTTTCCAAATAAACGAGTATCTTTGTCGCCCGAAGAACAGAGAAAATGTGATGGTTTAATAACTGAAGAAGAATTGAAGAGGGCAATTAATTCCTTTCCCTGTGGTAAAGCCCCCGGTCTAGACGGCCTTCCGATAGAATTTTACAAGACTCTCTTTAATTGTTTAAAGCAACATATGCTTGATTGTTTTAACTTTTCGTTTGATGTACACCAGCTATCTGATACACAAAAAGTAGGTCTTATTACATTAATACTTAAGCAAGACCCCACGGGACAGGATAAAGACTCTTCGTATCTCAAAAATTGGCGTCCCATTACTTTACTTAACTGTGATACGCGTATTTTGTCCAAATGTCTCGCTCTTCGCATGAAAAATATTATTTCAAAGCTAATATCATATGATCAAACAGGTTTCCTGCAGGGGCGTAGTATTTGTGACAACATACGCAGATTATTAGAGATAATAGAATATTATGACAAAAATGATTTGCCCGGTTTAATTTTCATTGCTGACTTTGAGAAGGCCTTTGACACCGTTAAACTGGACTTTATCTTTAAAACACTGAGGTATTTCGGCTTTGGGGACTCTTTTATTAGCTGGGTACAAATTCTTTACAAAGATATCTCTAGTAAAATTATCAACTGTGGTTATATTTCTAAGTCCTTTTCCCTGTCCCGTGGGGTCCGACAAGGATGTCCCCTCTCTCCATATCTTTTTATTTTGGGGGTAGAAATACTCGCTATTAAAATTCGTAGCAATATCGAAATAAAAGGTTTAGATACTTTTGGAATTGAATCTAAAATTTCGCAATATGCCGACGACTCGAATTTTCCACTTGCTCCCGAACTCGGCTCTTTATACGCTTTAGTTACGGATCTAGAAAATTTTCCTTATTATCAGGACTATGCCCACATTTTGATAAATGTAAAATATTAAGAATTGGTACTCTAAAAAGAACAAACTTTTACTTACCTTGCCCCTTACAAATACAATGGACGGATGGCCCTGTTAATATTCTAGGAATTCACATCCCAGAACTGTTATCTAATATAGTGGATTATAACTTTGACAAGAAATTGGCTAGAATAGACAAGATATTAATGCCGTGGAAATCTAAGTCATTAACTCTTATGGGTAAAATCGTTTTAATCAATACATTAATTGTCCCTCAATTTATCTATTTACTAACTT